TCTCTCTCTCTCTCTCTCTCTCTCTCTCTCTCTCTCTCTCTCTCAGTCACTACATGTCATCTTTGTTTTCTGTTCACTTGTCACACATTAAATGACTTAGGACAATACACATACTCACAGTACTGGGTTTTATGGACTGGGATCTTATACAACATTTATGTCAGAATCTTACAAGCACATAGGAAATGATCATGTTTCCTTGGGATCATATTTTCTTTTTTTTAATGCTAATAATTTTATTCTTAATTTAATATATATTATAATTAATTAAATTTAAGTTTTACTTGCAAGAAACTCAATCACATTGAGACGTCTCACACGTGAATGCTTGAGTGCCAGACTCTCTCTGATGAAGCAAGTAGAAGGCAGACATTCCCCTTCTACCCTGGACTATGTCTCAAGAAATTAAAGTACACAATTCCATTTCCTTTTAGGCAACATTCCATGCTACGATGTATGATATTCTTATCTGGAGAGAGAAGGAAAAAAACTGTAGGATATGATAGATTTCATTTAGAAGAAATGTCCCATTTTCTCAAGCCCATTGTGAGGTCAGCATTACCTTACTGTGTTGTGGGGTGATTAAAGATCAGGTGGTGTCATATGATGCTCACAGAGATGACTAAAGGCTGAGTGTGAACCAAGGTCACCAAAATTTTGTCGCCATGTTATCCTATCCAATAATATTTACCACGTTGCTCTCAACACACTGCATTCTTCTATGTCATTTCTGGGTGATGGTGGCTGTTGTTGTTACTGGCAGCCCCAGTGGTAGCTGAGCCGGAATGACCAGGTCAGGCTTTTTACCTAGTTGGCAAATGTTCCTCGTGGCACCATGACTAGAGAGTTTCCTCGGATCTCTATCCTCAGACGGACCTCACATCCTGGAGGGGATTCAGTTGAGACAAAGGTGAAGCACAAGATTATCTGGCAGTCACGAGTGTGACCCAATCCATGAGTTCATCTGAATAAACACAAAGCATGAGAAATCTACTACCTGACTCAGTGCTGGGAAGTGGGAATCCATGCTGCCTCCTTGCAGAATGTGCTGGATACAACCTTAGCGTGAAGCATCGGATTCTTTATATTTTAAGCTGTACTTCCTACTTTAAGTTGTTCTGTATCATTTACCTGGCAAAAAATGTAATGATATAATGCTGTTAGGAGAGCTCTGAGAACGTAAGCCACAGCTTGGCCAACATGCGTGTGCGTGTGCGTGTGCGTGTGCGTGTGCGTGTGCGTGTGCGTGTGCGTGTGCGTGTGCGTGTGCGTGTGCGTGTGCGTGTGCGTGTGCGTGTGCGTGTGCGTGTGCGTGTG